ACCCAAATTTGGCCTACACACCCGCCGACTCAAGACGCCAGCGAGATACAAGTAGTGCAAACGCTTTAGTAGCGTCTATATATCAATACACCAAAAAATTCCACGATAATAGCTTTTGTGGGTGGCTTAATAACCTCATCTTTTTGATCGTCCGATCTTGGTGGGGTGGCTCGTTACGCGACCTGGCTCGTCACGCGGCCATTTAGTGTAGCATGCCATTGTCTTGTCATGTTCCTGGACGGGCTCCACCACCTTCCTCTTCGACGCTCGAGGACCGCGACCAAACACGCGGCTGTTCTTCCGCGCTGCAAACGACGGGCGCGTATACCGGGAAGCATTGCTTGACCAACGGTTCTTAGATCAGAGCTGCGACCATAATGTATGCAGTCAGCCGCGGCTCACAAGTTTATTTACCCCGGTGTTCATATATCTATGAACAAGGCGTTGCCATGCATCCGAGTGTCGACGCCATTTCTGAGGTTGCGGCACTTATCCTGCCACCCCAACCGAGGTAAAAACTAAATAGGTATAGTGATAATAAGCTCTACCTTGCAGCTTACATTAGCTCCTAACAAGAAAACTTGAAAAGATTAATAGCATTGTAGACTTCTAGATTCTATGAATACAAGTGTCTATATAGCTCTTAACGTTTTGTTGTAGTAGGAAGAAGTACTCTGTTCTCAAGGGATGTTTAGTGTTCCGCTAGATGCTCGAAGTTGACTGTGTAAAGAATCATACCAAGTAGTAACATCAGATCACTCCTGCCACGTGGTCCACCCACGTTCTTCTGCTTCCTGCCACGGCCCGTTCGTTATACACTCTGTCGGACCATGTGCATTGTAGAACATCCATTCGCCAACATGCCCTGCCGTATCGCTCTTCTTAATTGCTTGCAGAGTGACGCGGATCGGTGTAAATTCGTCTTCCTTGACCTCATCTGCCATCAAGCTGTTCTCTGCGTGCGGAATGGCATTGAATTTTATCCGGCGCACCAGCTGCTCATCTGTACGCCAGTCTGCTCCTTGGTAGCTATAGAGAAGCCCCCGGTGATAATCGTAAGATCGGTCCTCGACGTAACTAGACACGAAGCCAGGTAGACGTCCACGATCGGTACTGCTACTGCGACCAGACCTGATGGAAGCCTTGAGCGCCATGATTTGGCGGTGGTAAATCCCTCGACCTTTCTTTTCTTCTTCGTAGTGGGCAATGCATGCCTCGTCGCATTTTTCAGCTGTTGCACCTGGCATAGGCAGAAAATATATCTCCAGCCGGAAGGGACATGGATAGGAAACAAATGGGGTGTCTTGAATAATGGCTCTTAGAAATTCAGTTGGGTGAACATTCCCTGAGTTGACGGCTTCGTGCGTGAAATAGAACGAGAAGCTGTAAAGCGGCGGAAGGGGACACGTTTCGGTGCCGTCAAACACCATAAGCGCCTCTTTGCCAGCATGGTCGGCGAATGGGAGGATGTGCGTTTTGCTGCGTCGGATGTAATTCATTTGTCCTCTTCCTGCCCTCTGGGGACGATACCTAGGTAGTACCTAGGCAGCGTCCTCATCAAGTTCGAGCGTCCTTGCCCACCAGGTCGAGGCTAGCCGAATTGAGACCTGCTTGGCATCAAGTGTCACGAACCATGTCTACACCAAGGGGGTGTAAGTAGCGAGTTCAAAGAAAGTGGTTATGATATAAGAAGGGCTGACGCTAGGATTACGTTGACGTCTGGGAAGGGTTGCCGATCTTGTCGTCAGCTTGGGTAGTTTAACACAAAGCCAACGTTTGGATACGTCCTAGCCTGTCTACATCTTCTCACCGTTCTCTTGTGGCTCGTTTGAAGAGATCGAAAGCCCCTCCATAGCGAGCTTAGCCTCATACTCGTCGACTATCAGCTTGATGGTACGGTACTGAGTGCTGTTGGCGCCGAACGTTGCAAGCGCATTGCGGAGTGAAGATTGGAGCTAGAGCGAGTTAGCCATATGCTAGCTCACTGCTATATTGCTTCAAAGTGGTGAGCACTTGACACAACTTACGGACATGAGCAAGTCGTCCGGCTGAGTCGGCATGGTACCCGCTAGATGCTACTGAAACTACTTTTGGGCAATCGCTGAGTTATGGATATAAGTAGGATGCAAGGAAGAGTAGATGCGTGATACCTTGACGCCAGTGTCCGTGGGCAGTACCGGATTGGAGTTTTAGCGGATGTTGATGGGCAAGGCTGTCGTGAGGCGCAAGCAAGAGTGTGCAGCAAAATTAAGATTTCCGATATGAGCAAACTACAAGATACGCTAGGCGAAGTAGCATCCCGCACCTGCCAACGCAACAATTACGACCACTGCAACATCATCCGCAAAAGAGAAAAAAAGACAAAAAACAAAAAAAAGAATGTTGACAAGAGTGGGATTCGAACCCACGCCCGTGAAGACTGCGGAGGATGTTTAGATCTACCTAAACGCAGCGCCTATTTTGAGTTAGATGACGTTGGATAGACGTGCTCCAGGCATTGCTCACCTTAGACCACTAGTGGGAGTTAGCATGTAATGCGAAAGCGGATAATGGGTGAGACGAACCTCGGCCATCTTGCCAGATGATGTTATTGATGGAGATACTGCTCATTTATCGTAATATGTACTATTGATTTGGGGGCTGGCATGGCATCTGTCCGCACCCCTGCGATGGGGCACATATCGACGCGTTGGCACTGACACTGTAACGCAGCTACCGTTGCTCGCCCCACTTTTCACCCACCCAAATCGCAGTGTCACGTTCAACTTTTGACAAATACTCGCCCGCCTCACTCCAAGCCACACGGTCGCAACAAGTCGTCCACCAGGTCCTTTCGATACTTTAGCAGCAGCTCTTCTGGAGACGAACTTTTCGTTCCCAGACGGCCTCATGGAAAACGCAAGAACCATATCAGCGTGCCTAACAGGAAAGCCCTATTCCAGCCGGTAGTGCCCAGTACTACGCCTTCGTCTCCCCTCACGACCGCTAAATTGATGCCGCTACTGTGCCGGTGCAACAGGTGCATAGTCATTGCTAAGGAGTATATCCTTGGTGTTTCGAATGCGCTTGCAAACGACAGCAACTACTCTAATTCCTACACAGCTACTAACATTACACTTTATGCAATCTTTGCTTTTCAAACTTTATCTTGTACACTAGTAGCCTACATAGGCATTACTACACTCTTTTAGCTTTTAAATGCAACTATGCAATACCTATACATCTGTTACAAGCAACAAAAGGAACTCCACCCTTAATGAAGGAGTTGGCGAGGAGCGCTAACCAACGACCACGTCAGAAGGTAACGATCAGCGCCCCGCGCTGATCACGTGACTGACATCCCGCTAAGGCTGACCATCCGGGATGGCAGAACCACTTGGGATGGCAGAACTATCACGAACATCCTTTGCACTCGGGATGGACGGGATGGCAGGAACAGATTGCAATGAGTATATAGGATGGACGGATTTTATTATTACACTTGTTGTGGTTAACTTAAATAGTTTATCTCTTACACAGATTGTTAACTACTTATTCTATTGTTTATAGAATTAGTATTGTTACCTTTTGGTTTATAACAATAACTCTTTTCCACCTAATCTTCTATACGATACCTTACGGACTACCGCTTTAAGTCTACCTCGCCTTATTACGGACCGAGCTTAGAGAAGTATAGCCGAACCCCGTGTAACAACATCCTTCTCTTCTTAGCTATGCTAAGGAGATGCATCGACATCCTCGTAATAGTGTCTTTATACACTCTAACACCCGTACAATATACTACTAACGTTTAGATTCGTCTTAATACAAGCCTATACTAATATCTTAGTGCCTGTCCAACTACTCCTTACACCTAGTTAGTAAAGCTATATCTCTTAAAAGTCCACTTCTCTAATTATATTCCTTAATATAGAATTACAAGCCTTAAAAGTCTAGAGGCGCATTGTGAGCGTGCACTACTCAGCTACAGCCACACATAGGCGTACAACCAGGGTGGCTCGTTAAGTGAGGCTTATATAGTGAGCCTCACAAAGAGATAGAAACAATCTCGAGAATTAACTCTAGAGCCTGGAAGGCATACCGCGAGTGTAAGACACAAATCTAGCTATGCACAGGTTTATAACCAGTAAGGCTCGTTTAGTAAGGCTCGTTCAGTGAGGCTCGTTCAGTAAGGCTCGTTCAGTGAGGCTCGTTCAGTAAGGCTCGTTCAGTAAGGCTCGCTTGACGGCAGAAACAGTCTTGACAGTAGATAAAAAGGACAGAGAAGCGTATTGCAGGCCCGAATGCGTGAGACCATGTCGTACCTAGATATAGGTGTATGGTTAGCGAGGCTCGACTGGCGACGCCCGCTGAAACAAAGGATGGGTGCTGTGAAGGAAGAGGTGTGCTGTCAGTGAGCATCTTTCCAATAACATTCCAAAAAGATGTTCAATAGCTGTGAACCCTGAGCCAGAAGCGGTCATGGCTGCGGTGGCGAGGTTCGACGCGTCTCGTCGCGTTGTCGCGCTCCCCACGCGCTGCGAGACTCGAGTGACCCTAAGCTTCACGGCACCGCAAGCCTCATCCATGCATCTATCTCATACAGCATCGCCTCGAAATGAAGAAGCAGACCACAATCAAGAACTTCTTCTTGAAGCGTCCATCCCTTGACGCCGCACAGGATGATACCAGTTCGAAGCGCCCGAAACCAGACTCGCAGACAGTGACACCAACGACTGAACGCGCAGACGAAACGAAGGTCAAGGAAATCACCAATGCTACCGATGCACACCTCACTATCCAGAAGCACATCCAGGATATCACCAACATCCTCCCCACTCTAAGGGCTGATGGGGACAGGCTCGTGTACGAGAGCTTACAAAGTGAGCTTCAGCAGCGCCTAGAAGAGCAGCGGCAGAATGGTGAGGCTGATACAACAAGAGAAGAGGAGGGCACTATGAGTGAAGCTGTAGCCACGCAAAGCGCCCTCCCAACCGCAAAACGACTCTCCCCTAGCCCGAGCGCTGGAAACACATCAAACCCAAACAGGGTGGCGATCCAGCCATTCAAAGAACGAGCAACATGGGTATGCCCGTACAAAGCAATTGGACGCTGTAGCCACCCGAAAGGCTACTTCCCAAAGTTCAAGGAGCTTACTTCACATGTACGACTTAAGCATGCGAAGAATGAGCTGGTCACACCTTATGCTATCGACCCCATGCCGGATGGCACCCTGAAGATCCCATGCCCACGTGAGTGTGGCGAGATGTTCTCATCTCATCGGGGAGCGAATAACCATGCAAAGAGGTCAGAATGCACTGGACAGCCTGTATCAAGTACCGCAGTCTTTGCCTGCCCATGGAGCGCACACAATGGGTGTACGCATATTTCGGATACCCCAAGAGGGTTGGCGAACCATACACGTAGCCACACCAAGGACAGCCGAGGGCCGTATCAGTGCCACAAAGACGAATGTGGCGGCTTTTTTGCCGACCTTTACGAACTAGCGATGCATGAGTCTCGTTGCAAGGGAGATGGGTCGTCACCAGAGCGTCGAACATCATACCGCTTTGCATTGACTTCGGCTGCTAGGGAAGGTGAGCCTCCGAGCGTCATAGTCGTCAATCGCTCTTCGGCCAAAGCCCCGGGAAGCTGGAAGGATGGTACCGACAGCCTCCAGGATGGCCTTCCGAACATCGGCAAGAAATATCTAGCTCACTATGCTGCTTGGACGACCTTCGATGGGGCTGCAGTGATCCACAGCTGCTACGACGTCGCCACGCGATATCTTCCCTCGCCTGCTGTAGATGACAGCTTTACAGCTTCATCACAAAGCTACAGAATTAAACAGCATCGCGCATTTGTCTTTACACAAGCAATCGTAAACGACATTGAAGCTGCGAACCAAGCCGGCATCAGGCCAACTATACTTTCCGTTGGTGCTGATGGATGGTTCTGCGATGCGAAAGCGATCGTTCCGTGGCTACAAGCTACTATCCTGAAGTTCGATCTGGTTTTGTACCTGAACTGCCTGCCTAACGGCATAAGCACTAAGTTCGCTGACGAGCACTACGGAGCTTGGTGGATTCGGTATGATCCCCAGCTCATTCTCAAGGCGCTGGAGTCGGGCTTCGGCCTAGATGAGAAAGCCGATGAGCTCATCGCTGCGTGGAAGATACTGCAGGACAGTAAGGATAGCTCCTTCGGCAAGAGCTACGGCCGAAACCACATCAACCCCAACACTTTATTCCCTATACTTGAATGAGCCTGCTACGCCAGCGCTCATTCCATTTTTCGCTATCTATCTGCTTTTTCGCGACATCATACCATTTAGAGACTCTTTTCTTTCTTTTTTCTTTTTTCCTTTTCATCCATCTACAAGCTTTCCAAAGGCAGGCACGCCTACCTTGTCTTTACGGTCTAGGTGCTATATTCGTATTACATTAGTTTATAGCGTTCTGTACAGTCTCTAGCATGTAAAAGTTTACCTTTTCTCTCTTTCTGCAAGCATTTATACGCAGCTTATTACACTGTGTCGCTAGTAGACATCACCACATCAGCCTCGCGAGTCGAGCTTCATTAGATAGAATATAATGTACGAAGGTTATCCTCGAATTTTTGTGATACACACTTATTTCTTGCTAGCTATAAGACACAGAAGCCTCATACTGATAGTCCAAGTTTAACTATCGAGCATCGGGCGTCGGGCTTTGAACGACAAGCACGATCGGTACAGGAATGAGTCTCACAAACTTGGAGATGTTGAACTTTAGGCTGCAAACGTGAAGCTACGAGCGTCGAGGTACGAGCGTCGAGGTACGAGCGTCATCCTAGAACAGATGATCCTGAGCTTTGCTTGAGCTTGCCTTGGCATCTCCGACCGATGTGTTGTTATCTGGGGTAAGGCGGGGGTAGGTGGAAGACCGGCCTCTAGGCATGCCGTCTTGATAGCCGTTGTGTGAGTCGAGTTCATGCATGTCAAGACCCTCCAAGAGGCCTTGTCCGAAGACTTCGTCCATACTGTCCGCACTGACCGAACGCTCCCGCTTGAAGCACTCGCTCTTAGTGTTGTCGACAGTGGGCGTTGTATGATCACCGCGGCCCTGTGAGCGTCCTAGCATCGCACCCTGCTCCATGATATCGCCGGATGAATCGGTACTGCTGCCCGCGCGCCTGACAACTTTCTTGCCCTTTGCTTGTTGTGAGCGTGTTCGCACCGCGTCATGGTCCATTCTTCCACCGGACGAACTGGTACTGCTGCCCGCGCGCCTTCCAACTTTCTTGCCCCTTGCTTGCTGTCTGCCCCGAAGAACAGTGGAATCCTGACACGAGTCTGATTCCCTGCCCGGTGCGCCAGTGCGAGCACGACCATGCGACTGTGAATCGGGGGCGTGGTGGAGAAGGCGATCTGGGGACGGATCCCAACGGAAACCAGAAGTGGCCTCGCCAGGCGAGCCCCGACTGTCCGACTCTTCTTCTTTAGCCTTGCCCTTGCCCTTGCCCTTGTCCTTAACCATCTTCCCGCTAGTGAGCTTGCCTATCAAGCGCGACACTACATCGTTTCCCTCTCCGTCTTCATCCGACTCTCTGTCCAGGATCATGGCGTCGTCGAGGTACATTCCGTCGTTGACGCTCGTAGGTCCACGCTCCGGGGTGGCAGTGTTCTTTGTTGGTTGATATGCACTTCTCTATAACTAAGTATTAGCAAGTGACTGCGGTGGTGGCCCTAATCTTAGACGTACGAAGTGTTTCTCGATCAATTCTACGGTAGACGACCTCATGGGCAGACCTAGATCTCGGTATCGATCCATGAACTCGATGTCGTTGGCATCTAGCATCAAGTAGAGGACCTCCCGAACCTCCGCGTCGGTGAAGTTAAGGAGACTGAAATACGGCATTTAGGTATGAACGTCGGTGTTGCGAAGTGACTGATGTGAGAGAGTGAGTGCAGTCGAAGTGCGCCAATTGGGGACTAGATTCGCAGTGAAGTTGAGTCTAGTCGATATGGTAGCTCTGGAGGTAGAGCCAATGTGAGCTTGGGAATCACTAGGCCCGTTAAGCGGCGCTAAGGCACAAGGGCGTCCGCGTTAAGCTAGCATCTCTGGTGCATCATTTTCTAGTCTTAGTCCCGCTCGACCTGTATCTAGGCCGACGACTACTTGCAACCGTACGTATCTTGACGACTCACTAATACGATGCGTAAACTAATGCTCTCCTGTCTAAGCAAAATTGTACAATTGACGCTCGATATGAGTCCCAGACAGGATAATCCAAGCGAAAGTCATTCGGTAGGGTCTAACTTACCATCATCGCCACGGGTTTGCTAACGAACAATTGTAGGGCATGTTCGGTAGCTATAACAGCAAACGGAACCAGAACAAGGTGAGGTTATCTCGTAGACGATATGACAATAACTAACGTTATCAGCCAAGCAGTACCTTGACGCTAGCACAGCTATCCCGAGCTGAAGCTACACTGCAACAGGACGGTCTTGTCTTCCACGGTGGCCAGAAGGTTGCGATGCTCATGAAAGGGGATCGAGTAAAGTGCTCTGACCGAATCTTTGACGAACAAGGGAACGTTTATAATTCACGTGGACGTTATCTGGGCACAGTCGCTATTCTTGAGACAGAACCGAAGAGGAGCGAAGTTATTCCGAGTGTCGCCACGCCCGATTCACCTACAGTAAGTCGCAAATTACACAATTCTCGACTGCAAACAACTAACCACACGGGGAAGGCTGAGCGTGAAAAGTATCTGCAGCAGATGAAGGACTTAGACAGCGAGAGCCTCCACCAGTTCAAGGAAACTGCCGACGTAAAGATCGCCAAACTCGACAAGAAGATTCCCCGGATGCAAGAGCAAATAGGAAGGCTTGAGTCTTTAATCAAGCGTCGGAACAAACGCTCTGAGGTTCTGCAGGACGCTTTAAATCTCATGAACGACGACCACTTTTCTACCGTTTGTAAAAGTTACCAAGAGGCGTGCGAGGGTTTTGTCGAATTTGCAAACCGACATCACAGCGAAGGGGACAATCGCGAGGAAACTTGAACGTCAGGGGACGAAGATAGGAGGACATGAAAGGCGTCAAGCACGCGATGGGCGGCGACAAAAGTGAAGCTTTGAATGTCTCAAATTGGGCAGATTTCAGGCCAACACACCTCGACCCTTCATCTCTATACAGAAGCGCCAATGTGACCTCATGAAACCCTCACCCCTGTGGCCTTAACTATGAGCACCATTATAAGTTGAACGCGTGTCCCTTCCGTAGATAGGGATTATGTAATGTTCGGTCTCCTCGGTATACTACCCCACTTTCAATACAGCGGCCCTGGGAATAAGACTAAGCTATTAGAGCCCTGGTTGTGGAGATGAGGGGTTAGGAAGCGAGTATCTTTTCTGGGAGCGAGATGGTGATTCCTGACGGGAGCGGTCAAACGAGTTTGAAGGCTTCTCCGTATAGCTTCGGGATAGGTGTTGGTCGCTGGACCTAGGGTCGGGGTAGGATGGACGACGCGGGCGTACGTTCGTGTCTCGAGGAAAGTCGGGACGCGGGCGTACATCATCCACACTGTTGCGGGATGATGACGGTTTCATTCGATCGTCGTACTGCGACACTGGGCGAGGATGAGCGTCGCGGGGCGAGCGTGGACCCAAGGCTGAGCTATAAGCACCGCTTGATACACTACTGCCGTTGAGAATGCCGGTAACTTTAGACGTCTCACTTCGACCAGTCTTGACATTACCCTTTTTAGAAGCGGCAATTGCGTCGGACAAGCTCGGTACTTTCATCTGAGTAGATAAAGCTCCCCAGCCTTCTCCATCGTCATGTAGGCCTTCCATCAATAGACTCTCACTGACAGCACTAGCATTGCGGATGAGTGCGCCGGTTCTTTGGGTTATCGCCTTGAAGCGCTTGTCGGCGTCGCGCTTCGACATCTCCCAGGCTTTGTCGAAGATAGCCTAGCATAATTAGCAGCCAACCCCCATAGACCGACATAGTGTTACATACCTTGGCAGTGCGTACGTTGCGGTCGTAGGTCTGTACCTCATCCAGACTTTCCCTTCCTCCAACTGGTATACTCATCTCTTCGATCTGGGAAAGCAGGCGCTCCTTATTCTCGTCTAGACGTTTAACCTCTCGCTCTCGCGCTGCGAGCGTGATGGCTGAATCCAATGCAGCATCAAGGAACTGCTTGTGCTTTCGATTCTCTGTCGGCGAAGACATTCTCTGTAATGCGCGAAATTTTAGCGGGTGCTTTTCCGACGAGGCTGAAGGGGATGGTATCGAACTTACGACGTGAGGCACCGCTAATCACGGCTGTGCACTTATTTCGCCTAGTTATTATTGTGTGTTTGCAAGCTTTGCGAATTTGCTTTGCCGCCAATTGGACCCTGATTCACAGCTACGCATTGGTAGGGAGGTAGAGAGATCTGTGCTCACAATGTGTATTCAGCCACGCACTCCAACGGATGTCTCATTCGCACAGCTGCTCACACGATCAACGCACACCACCGAAATGGACCCTAGCAAGCACCCGTATCTCGACACGATTCACGAGCGTCCGCCCGCCAGTCGTATGCCCGACGCACACGGCGCCACAGAAGCCATCGAATGTGTGCGCCGCATGGTGTCGACCACCGAATTGTTTAATCCAATCAAACGTCAACAAGATATCGATGACGCCGAAGGTACCTCCGATCTAGAGGGAAAACTGCCAAAGAAGAAGAAATGGCCAAAAAAGTTGACAGTCGTCGAGGTGTCAGATGAGGAGTACCAACAGAACATTCATGACCTATGGAACCTTCTGCAAGTGGGCATAATGGTTGGACCTCGTAATAAGACTCGCTCAGATGGCTTTCTCAACCGAACCCCCGACGAGCTGCTTGACGCAAAGAAAGGATTGACGTTGCATACATATCAGTTGCATGCAGTCAACGAATTCTTGCGAGCTGTGCTCCGTGGCGAAAGAGGGATCCTCTTAGCCTACGGCATGGGCATCGGAAAGACCCTCATAGTCATATGTGCGCTCTGAAACACCCCCTACATATTACTGGCTAAACAATTTAGGCATTATCGTGACACTTCAAGCTCATCGCGATCACTTCCGCCAATCATGGAGCTCGCATGAATCAAGCGACTTCAAGCCTGGCCATGACGTACAAGGGAAATACCTCCTTGTAGTGCCTAGGGACTTGATCGGTCATTGGGTGAGAGAATTGAGTATTCGAGTCTCTTCAAAATTGAGCGTCATTGTATACCGTAGGTCTGAAACTGTCCGTACATTTGTCGTGTGCTTACGCTGTGTGAAGACTCATCGAGCCCAGCATGGCCTTATACGCCGGAGAGCCTCAGCAAGGCAGATGTGGTTGTGACGTCAAACGAGACGCTGAGATCCGACCACGAAGACGCAGAGGCGTCAGAAACCTCGTTCAGACGACCACATAGTCAACAATTCTTGGGCCGCTCGCCGCTCCTCGCGATATATTGGTTAGGCGTGTTCTTCGACGAAGCACACCGCATGAACAATGAGAACACCGGTATCGCCAAAGCTGCCAAGAGACTCAGGGCTCTTACGTGGCTCCCCATCACGGGAACACCCTTGCAGAATGAATATTCTGACATCCGATCCATGGCGCAGCTGCTCAATGTCAGGCCATTGTGCATTCCACACTTCTTTTCACAGGTAAGTTCTATCGGCTTTGATTAAGGACCCAAGCTAACTATGACCCCCAGTACTTCATGCTGGCTCCGCCCAACGACTTGTCCGCGCGACTTGTTCTGTCTGGACAACTGAATGCGGTACTATATTTGTGCACTCGTGCTTTCACGCTCAGATTGAAGCGACACGACGAGTTCGACGGTACGATAGTGCTCGGCGAACTTGACCCAGGGGTCCACAGACATCTAGTGCATGATCTTAGAGCTCATGAGCGAGAGCCCCAGGATAAAGTGCGAATGCAGTGGGACAAAGAGTTCAGAAAACGCCAAGAGAAACGCAAGAAGCGTGGAAGAAGGGCCTCGCCGGACGAAGAGGATGAGGAGATTATAAATCAGAAAGAGCTCCTGAATTCGATCACGTATGCGAGACTCGCCGCCGTCCATACTGCTTGTCCGCGCGCAGGATATGGCGACGCCGGCGATGCTGACAGAGAACTTACGGAAGCTGAGGCCCATAAATCCGTCGACGACCTACTCGAAGAAGCCCCGGCGCCTATAACGTTCATCAGGAGCAAGTCGCACAAGCAGAAGCGCGAAAAGTTCAAGAAGAGTCTCTCCAACGGAAATTGGTCCTCATCGCGGATTGATGAGACCCTCGAGATCATTCAGGATCACCTCACAAGACGTGACGGGAAAGTCGTGGTTTTTTCCGAGTTTCTATGCACGTTGGACGTTCTAGCAGTCGCGTTACTGGAAAAGCTGAAGATCGCGTCTCTTAGGTTTGACGGGACCATGTCGCAAGTGGAAATTGCTACCTCCGTAGCCGATTTCGAGAAAGCTGAAGGCTCACCTATACTTCTAATCACGAATCGGAGTGGCGGACTCGGACGCTCATTCACCGACGCTGGACTTGTGATTCATCTTACACCGTGTTGGAACCCTGGCCTCACTGCCCAGTGTACTGATAGGGTCATCCGCACTCCGCAAGAGAAAACGGTTTACGTATATCATATGATCGCTTCCAAATCGATCGAGTGCCGTGTGTTAGACATCCAATACGAAAAGCGTGGAAAAGCTGTCAATATCTTAGATTTGGATCCGGTCACCGAGAAGGAATGCAGGAAAGTGGCTGGATGGCAAAAGGCTGATCTCGTAGGACTGGTAAGTCGTATCGGATGATTCCACGATGCTCTTGTCTCAAAGACTAACACAATGCAGATGATGGCCGCACGAAACTTGGCCATCGAGCACGCGGAAGACGAAGCAGAGAGTCTGCGCGACTCTTTCATCGAGCCTGCATAGCCAGGACGGATCTTTTGAGCTTGACAATCTTGCTTCTTGGGCCCTGCGAGTATCACGAAACGGGAACATGGCGTTCTCGAGCGCGTGCACTTCATTTCATTGTAATCTTCTATGCTAGATGGTAGGAAATAATCGGAATAATGATACTCAATCCATGAGTTCGGTAGATTTGGCCGCTGCCCACATGCTTTTCTCTATATCTCCTCGCTCCATGACGCTCGCTCCATGACGATGGATCCATGACGATGGATCCACGACGCTGGCCCCATGAGGCTAGTCCCATGGAGACTGCATACGCGACGCTCGCGGCTGTCCTCCGCACTCATAACCTTGTATCTTAGCCCTGATACCACGAAGCTCACACCCCGGAGCTCACGCCGCGAAGTCTCCGACCTCAAAATATCCAGAAGCATGCTCCCAGCTCGAACCCACAGTTTTCGTTTCGTGCGTGTTCTGGTGCCATCCAGCTCCCTTCACTGTTGCTCAGGCCACTCCGGTATCCAATGCTTCATTGCCCCCAACATCTCAGTCCAAGTAGGGTCCTCAAGCGCAGCTTCAGCTTCAACGACCTGAGCTTCTCCCATAGAGGGCTGGAGACCTGGCGTCGTGGTCTGACGCGGCTCGAGAGCATCGACTGAGACTTTCTCTTCCCTACCCTTCTTGACCTTCACAGGATACTTGTATTGAAGCCACTCTGGGGCCGCAAATGGAGTACTGTTGGCTGTAGTCTTGGCCCACGCTCGTGCGGCGGTGATGGTCGCATATGTTGGAGCTTCACCGTTCTGGTGCTCGAGCTTCTGCACTTGGCAGAAATCTACTATGTCTTGTGCATCCATGGGCTCGCTACCTTCGAACGAGGCAACGACCTGCTTCTTACGCTCAGCAGATATGATCGTCGATGCATTGCCGATCTTTTGCTTCTTGTTGGGCGACTGCGTATCCTTCCGCCGCATCTCATACCTTCGGCGCTTCAGTCCATCGCCGGCGGAATTGCCCGAGGACCCGACGCTCTTTTTCTCTTTGGACTCTTTCAACTCGCTGCTGGGCAAGAGCTCGAAGCCTCCCTTCGTTTCCCACACCTTGTGGGCGATCCTGGTGATGCTATCAAGCCCATGGCCATCTCTTCCCGGAACGATCTCAGCGCTGACTGTGTTGAAGTCGATGTCTTCAGCGAAGCGCTGAGTGCCCCGTTGGTTGCGGTAGAACGGCCTGGGTGCAAGGATAGGCTTTTTGCTTCGTGATTTGGATGGGAAATAGGTCACCTCAAGGACTTCGCCGCTGTGGCTTCTTGCGAAGATCATGTATCGACCTTCAAACGCCAGTTCCTGTCGTGGGGCTGCCTGCTCACTTGCATCAGTTACTCAGGTTTACAACACAGGACCTTCTGACTCACCATGTTGACTCTCTCTCTTATCCTTGGCGGCACGGTCAATGTATAATCGAGTCGGGAGTGGAGAAGATAGAGGAGTAAAGATTGAGAGATGAGATATACGTCAAGATAGGGATGTCGCTAGTCGACACTCGGGATATGAAGAGGCTTAGCGAGAGGGCAAGTAAGAGAGCGCAGTAGGTGAGAGACAAGAGCTACATATCTGCTGTTCATATATATCTGGAAACAGCCAACATAATGGGAGCAACTGGCTTTTGGAGAGTCACGGCTGGAGGTGGGGTGGCAGTTGAAGACACCATGAAGTGATGATAACCTAGGTACTTAGCTAGTGACGACCATGAACGAACCTGGCGGAAGAGTTTAATCGTAAGACGACAGTTGTTCGAGCTTTTGAAGGCCACTGTATCTGATACGGACGCATAGTCGGATATGCCGACACACAACACATCTTCACCACTCGGAAGTCGGAATCGCAGGTGACAGTTCGTTGCCTGCACACTCAGTAGACATAGGCCCTGTAGTACCTATAGCTCATCTCGCGACAATCAACACCCTCTCCTCAATGTAGTCGATAATCGTGCTCATCTCTTCATACGCTTCGTGAACGCTGGCCTTCAGAGGGTACTGCGCCAGAGTCAACAGGTATGAGGCCTTTGTCTTGAACGTCGAAAATTCGCGATTATCCGATCGATTCTCAAAGGCCATGTCCCAATGTCTGGTGAAGAATTGTACGCGGGCGTCGCGGTCGTTGCTGCATGCCCGATAGTCGGTGAGTACGGCCTTGGGGATCGCGGACTTCCTGCCTTTGTGCTCGACCAGGAAAGCTTTCAGAGCGGCGCGCGCCCGGTACAGATAGGGGAGGATCAACTCATTTATTTTCTTCCGATGGTCCTTCGTGATGTCGCTAATACGGTTCATGCGCAGGCGGACAACGTAGGTTGGGTTGTTGATCTCGACTTTGACGCTGGGTTCGGTGAGGACGATGAACGCTTTGCCCGCCAGCACCGATGCGGCGGCGCAAGCCGAGAGTATTGGTTGCAATACCCGTACAGTCCACCGAGCTCGCATATCATCTACGCTGTGGACACAGTGCATGTACTCGACCCAATCGGTCATGCTCTTCCCGTCCTCTAGCTCACGAACGTCTTCGACGAGTTCCTGAGCGTCGGTCAATGACGATCAGCCGCATTTGGCATACTACTCATATAGCCTTTACTCGCTCTGACGTCTGCAAGTCCCCTCTGTATGATCGCACCGAGCAATGCTTTGCACGCTGTTAACCTTTCGGTTGTTCGTCCAATCCCCTCACGCAATTGTGCCAGGTCACCACGTAATTTGATGAGGTTCTCTTCTAGTATTTCTGCGTGAGGATCGAATGAGGAATCCGAGCCTGCATCCTCCATGATAGCGGGTGAGGTCCTGCGCTTCGAAGCAGAGCTAGATATGGTCGGCGCGTCGTTATTGGTGGGTGCGTAATGTGGAACTTTTCCTCTTTCCAACAGTACGTGCGGAACAGGGTCCGAGCAGGGTGACGCGTATTGATGTTTTGATTGGTCAATATACGTGTGAAGGTGCCTGGGCTAAAGTTAGTGACTTGATCGTAACCCGCGCTGGCGAGTACGCATAGCAACCAAACAGCGTAGGTTCATGCAAGCGCACAGCGTGCTTTGAAGATGGTAGACTGTGAATCTTTCTTCGGATCTTAGCCTACAGCATGTCTATTAGTTCGCTTGCTCTAAATCTTGCAATCCTTCTCGACACTTTCCCAAGATTCGCTCAACCTAAATAACATATTGTGGCAGAAACACGCACAGCGAGGAAAGCTTTGTCTCTTCGTACTCTGTAAAGCACTAGACTAGAAGAGAGTACACTAGTAGTACTCTCTATATAAAAGCAATGCTCTTTAGAGCTTTGCTTTAATTAATAATTTATCTCTCTATTATTCCTATACTTTAAAGACGCAACACTTATTATATATCTGTCCTACTGCGCATTCTACCGCGATCACCAAACAGGCCCTCGAACGGGAGTTCCTGATGATCACGCCGTCGCGGGCTTGGCGCAAGCCCGACGGAAGGGACCACCCGTAGAAGGACAAGTACCTAGATAGCTGCAATACGACACCGGTGTTCAATCTTGGTCTTGAAGGTAGCCGAGGGTATCAAGAATGCGCATTGAAAGAAGTGGATATCGATAACGACGCCGCTCTAACCCATCTGCATCTTCTCGTCGTCCTGACGTGGCTCGCCTGAAGAAATGGAAAGCCCCTCCATAGCGACCTTAGCCATATACTCATCCACCATCAACTTGATATTACGATGTTGATTGCTTCATGTACAGCAGAGCGTTTTGCGTCTTTATATACTCGTTGACAACAGCTGGAAGCTGGAAGTTAAAAAGGTTTGAAGGTTGGAAAGAATCGCATCCCATGTGGAGACGCCCCACCACGAACTACACAGGAAGCGAGCGAGCCCACACGCGAACACGCCTTGACGATAGATTAATGGCCTCAGATACATGGAGATGTCGTTGTAGTATCTACTGGTGCGGTCGAGAGTGACTCGTTTTGCCTTCGAAGTTCTTGTATTGGACATCACCACGAACACTTAGCCAGACCGGCGTGCGCACTACACCAAGATAGCAATCGAAGAAAGCGTATCGCAAGTCATATCATTGTGCAACAATACACATCACATCGACATGCACAAGACCACCCCGTGTCAGTGAATTGTAACAAACAGTCACATCTTCGCGGCTACAGCCTGGCAGGGCTGAGTCATAGAACATCACAAGAGTCACTGCCACAAAGAGTCAAGAACGTCACAAGAGTCACTGCCAAAGAGTCATTTGTGAACATCATGTATATTCAAGGAGACTATCCCAGAGGCTTCAGCACGAAAGCGCTCCACAACTATGAATGCATCAATCAGAAATGAACAACACCACATTACCACCTACACCAGGCGGAGTCAATCGAAAACCACAAGGGGAGACTGCACACCGGCGACAACAATATAAGATCAAAGCATGAGACACCATCCAGCCAGAGCCGGAAGGCGACAGAAGCGAAAGGAAATACCGCGGGAAACAACACGGAAAGGAAAACTTTTGCCGAAAGGCAAGGCTGGTTTCTTCACCAGCTCCTTACGACCACTGGGAACCATATGAGAGAGACGAGGACATTCACTGTCCGCTGTATCCATGAGCCATAGCAATGCTCTTCCACTTTTCGACTTCAGCTTCGAGCTCAGAGTTGCGCTGCTCGAGGGTGCTGACATGGTCAAACTTCCGCTGACGCGACTCACGGGCAGCAAGGGTGTTGCGTGCCCGCTTCAAGGCAATCTTGTCACTGGGGTCGACGGTGATGCTGGGCAGAGGACCCTTGCGCCGACGAGACTTGCTGATGCCGTTTGTTGCAGGTGAGTTGGTGACAGACGACTTTCGTCGAGTATAGTTGTCCAAAACGAGAGGAGAACCGGTGCTGGAAGAACCGGATCGCTCCATAGACTGGCTGCTCATAGTGCGGTCCATAGGCATGGAGATGGCAGGTGCATAGACAGTGTCAGGAATCTTGGTCTCCTGCTCCGGGAACAGGGAGAACCAGTCGCTCGTGTCAGAAATAACCGGCTCGCCGTTGAACATTGGCGAGCACTCGAAGCTGTCGTTGATGAAAGGGGAGTCACCAATATCAGGGGAAGTAAGGTTGGTAAACGCCGTGGAAGGGGGTGCAGACCCAAAGGCATCGTTAAAAATGTCCTTGGGGGACACGGTGCGCGTAGACCCGGCGGCAACGGAAGGGTCGTTGATCGCCGTGAATGCGGACACCGAGTCCATAGAAAAGCCTCCGTTGTTGAAGTTGGACATCAGGCTTGCGCCCGAGTCGAAGGAGTTGTTGCTGTTCAAGTCTGCGGGGAAGGTGAGCTCGCGATCGAGAGCGGAAAAAGCGTGCGTCGTACCTGCCATGTTTGTGACGTTGTGCAGTTGGGGAGTGTTGTTGCTAGAGCTGGGGAACAGTGGAACCGGAGGACGTTGGCGTAACCGTGGCTGTTGGAATTCTGTAGTAGATGACGGGGCAGAATTTGCGTAAAAGTGCTGGCCGTTGTTAAACGTATGCCCAGGCTGAGGCGCGCTCGGTGCTCGCAGAGGCCGTTGGGAGACCTGTGGTGTTTCGTAGAGCACAAAGTCCGACTGCGGACGGGCGAATGCGTGTTGACTCGTATTTGGTTGCCGAGAGGCTTGGGGAGCTGGTGAAGAGAGCCATGATGACTGTTGGGAAGCCGTGATGGTCGACGTGAAGTCGAACGGGAGGGGAGACGGCGAACTAAAGCTGCGCGAGGCTAGACTTGAGTTCAGAGGTTCCTGAAAGGAAGACTCTGAGGTTGTAGTTGAAGTGGGGAAAGTGGTTATGGTTGGGTAATCCAAGGTGTCGGCTGTTAGCTGACTGAGAGGCGCGGGGGAAGTTAAAAGGCAGCCATTGTTCGTGACTGTCTTGTGTATTGCTTTGTGGTGTGGTATGTTGAGATGAGTGGGAAGGAGAAATTCAGGCAGCGAGGGAAGTGGGGGACTAATAGTAACCGGAAGCGAGCACGGCACCAGAAAGGCCCGAGTTCTGTGACTCACAAAACGTGCAGCAGTGTCGGTGGCTCCCAACCAATAGCTTCGCCCACCGGCGCCATCCTCCATCAGCCCTAGGCCCCGATCCGGTTAAAGAGGCATCACGCTCGCCAAACTGCACGCTCCATTTTCGTCCTTTGATGTGGCTGCGCGGCCTCTCCATGGGGTCTCAAGTCTGATTATGCCTGCTCCCGACCTCTAGGAGGCGTCGCATTCAGCATTTGCCCATACAAAGCAAAATCGTCAAACCTCGCGACCATGGTCAACTGTGGCCTCCATCCAAATCACAGCCACTAAACATCAGGCATCAGCTTTTGTGCGCATGTACCAGTAGGGCGCGCGCCATCAAACATGGGGCACCCTAGTCAGCTGCACATTGTTCCAACCGGTGGAGGTGATTACGAAGAAGCCATCCCAAGACGGGAGAGATGCAAGAAGAAGGCGGAGCAGCTGCGCCCTTTCCATCAATCGTAGATTGCCAGATGCGCGCGGTATGCGCCTTCGTTCTCCAGATTGATTGCCAATACCGCATTCTCCGGCGCCATTGCGCAAAGTCTCTGAGAAGCCAGGTGAGATCAAAGGTTTGGCATCAGGAGCGGTGAACAACTGTGTGAAACATTGCGGTTGTCCTGCCACACCCAGCGCACTGGGTCCCAGGGTAACTCTGACGGTCTTATCGATATTCGGATCCGTACTCAGCCTCCAACATGCTGCAAAGTCCCCAGTATGGCATTGGTCAATGAGGGCGGCTCCGCGTGAATCCTGGCATATTCAGCCTCACTCCAGTGACTAGCGGTCGCACCTGCTTGGTTAAACTTGCGAGTTCTCGTTGTATTTGGTTCGTCTACTGACAGCACACCTTGACGCGACATGCCCGTCACTGCGTGTATTTCCAAGGTTGCAGACACCTCATTCGGCCCTATACGGCCGCGGATAGCTGTGTTTCAGGTTGGAGTAGCACGCCAACGAACAGCTTACCTAACATTCACAGGAAATGAGGGTCTGCGATTTCATGTGTTGACGGTCGATAATTCAACACGTTGGTATCCCGTCATCAAGTGGGGCTAACCTGCGCAACCATTCTCTATGGGGATGTGCATGGCAGAGCTGGCGGATTAGGCGTACCCAGTCATCATCCCTGGCTCTACGCGGAACGACAACAACATCTGATCTGCTCGAGATCCCCACTTTCTGCGCTATCACCTCTCCAGCCTAAGCATTTCTGTGACACTGCACAATGGTACAACAGAATGTGAAACCACCTGGAAAACTCCATGCGGCTTGCGATGAGTGCCGTGAGTACCTCAAGCTAGGCTCCCATCTGCCCCGCGCGACGCTCAACTATACCCAGGCACACGAAAGTTGAAATGTTCGGGCCATACACCAAGATGCGTCCGTTGTCAGAAAGAGAAGATCGAGTGTGTTTACTCGCCACAGAAGCAGATGGGTCGCCCTAGGAAGAGGATGAGGGAGGACGAAGCGGACGAGCCTACGGAAATACCTGCAGTAGTGCGAGACGAACATGTCGACGTTTGGAATGACTTCTCGGGAATGCCAGACTTTACAGATCTCGACAGCCTACTATCACCGCCGCTTCTGCAAGATGTGCAATCATCGGACGGTTCGGCAGGCAATGAGATTATTACACCGCAACATCACGACCTCAGCCTCCATGATCAGTTCCAAGTGCCATCCGGGTGCAACGATGCGTATGTGATATTCAGCGGATCGATATCGATGAATGCTGAAACCGTTGCAGGTATACTTTGGATACAACCGTCGATCCACTGTTATGGAATCTGGCGCCTAACATTCAACCTGATATCCAGCCTATTGGCTCTCACCATACTTTCTCCGATCAACCAACCACAGGGCAGTGTTCGTGTCTGACAACAACGTGGCTAACCCTGACCGAATTACAAGCTGTCGTCACCTTTCACTTCCCTCAAGTTGTTCTGCCCCTACGAAAAGCGATGACATCGCTCTCGGAGTTGATACACTGTAATCAATGTCCAAGGGAGTCATACTCAGCGATCCAGAATGTGCAATCAATAGTGTCCGTAATGAAAGCGGTAGTGGAACGCTTCAACAAAGTTCTGATCGAAGTCGACCGCGAGGCGCTACGCCTAGAAGAGACGGGTCAAAAGAAACCATATCGAATTGGCGACAACAACCCAGCTTTGCAGCATCTACACACTGGCACCCTTGACTGCCCAATGGGATTCAATATTGAGATCGAGGGGAAGGACTGGAAGAAATTAGTCAAGACTGCGTTGAAGACTGAGGTCTATGGCGGAGGAAGCAATCCGCGACCATTACTGGATCTAGTAAAGGAGAGCGAGGCAAGACAAGAAAGCTGGCATACTAAGAATCACTCTTGGAGCGATGAGATGAAACAGTTACATGCTGGAAGGCCTGAATGTGATAATTCCGGGGCCTGTGAGGCATTGGGAGCGCAGCACATACGGAGAGCAATCAACAACCTCAGATGGGATTGATAAATCAAAGATAATTTTGGCACTTCATACTGCGTAGACTGGCTTGTCCCACGTCTCTTCTCATCATTAGCTCTCATATGGGGGTAACTCTAACTGAGTACACTTACATCTCATTGGTAGGTCCAGACCTTACTTTACTGCCAGTTCATTCGTATCTTTTACCTATAACACACTCACCTTTTCTAGTGGGTGATTAGTGCTTGTTCAGGACATATAAAACACCTACCGTTCCTAGAATTCATTTCTCTACTTCGATTCACTATTTCTTACACTTGCCTCTTCCTCAGAATTTCTCAAACATCCAGCGATACTTCGTCTAATTATCGATCGCTCTAGCAAAGGGACTTACAAATATGATTAGCATAAACACGATTAAGCAACACAACAGGCTACGCGATGAGCAAACTCTAACTTCACAGCTTTGTCAAGATGACATTAATTTCCCGTTCCTCGACCTACCTGGTGAGATGCGCAATACGGTCTATGAGTGCGCATTGGTTGATAAGAAACACTCTGTCTGGTTCGAGACAGCTAGAGACAAACAAAATGGCAGCGGTAAGTGATTCCGAGCTGCGAAGAAGTTCCTTCTCATAACTTGTATCCCAGCCGTAATACACCCTAGAGGCATACGCTGCATCATACATTATCATACTAGAGACTATAGCATGGTAAACACCTTCAGGATGCGATGTGACTGGGGTAAATCTCATGAAAATCTAGCTTTTTCGCAACAACTGTAATTGCTGGCTCCCATCCAGATACTATCATTCGTATTCATATAGCATATCCCAAAGTCCTAGCCCGCGATGACATACCTAGCTTAAGATAGCCTACTCTAAAAAAAACCCGCGTTCTTTTAAAGGTGATAAAGTGGGTTGTGCTACATGGAGTGATAGTAAAGGAGTCGAACTCCGAGTTTGACGGGTGCTGTCTTGATAGTAAAAGCTCAAAAGTGAATTAGCTTCTTACATTCTATGCCATGCATAGAATGAGTTGGTATAGACAAAACTCGACTGGAAGGAGGTGACTATCTATTCAGACCTCGCAAACGTCCAAGGAAGATAGACGTGTCGTATGAGACGACGTCCTAGAGGACTTTACTGGATGTGAATCTTTCACCAAGATCATCTGCTCCATGCACAAGTGTTTGGAGATGGTTGGTGGGGAAGTATGGGGCTGTCGTGTTGATGGCACGCGCCTCAAACGACTAGCGCCACCGGAGCGGAGAAACAAGGTGGGCTGCGACCAACTCCCATCCCACTAGGTGGGCGCGCAATTCACTCCGCAACCGCGTCCCGACCCGTGCTTGCGCCTGATCGCAACGCCCCACCACGCCGGTGGTCGTAGCCTACAGAGAAGACATACAAACGCCCATATCCTTCGGAGCCCATCGCCGAAAGCAAGCGCATCATGGACGACTTCAACAGCGACACGGATAGCGACTACACAAGCTACTGGCGAGATTGGGTGAGTACCCTGGCTTCCTATACTGTCACCATTGGCATCCTCTGAGCGCCCGACATGGCCCTGCGAGGATTGAGTGGAGGGGACTGGGACAGGAGGTTCTTGGTTGCATGGTATGGCTCACCGGCCTTTCACTGCGGGTCACGTCTGACCTTGCGCCAGCGGTGGCTGCGCCCAGAAGGGCTACATTTCCACACGCATGTGCCCTCATGCAATCGACTCCGGATATGCACCCATCTTCGGTGCCGAGTGGGGTCCGCTCATGGCCATGCAGTCTCTGTGGTGGTCAGACTGGCACGAGAACGATGCACATGTAGAAGCAGCGAGCGCGCTTTCAGACACATGCTGACCAACGACTAGTTCATATCCTCGCGAGGCAACGAATACTTCTGCGAGATTGACGAAGAATACCTCACCGATCGCTTCAACCTCACGGGTCTGAACACCGAAGTTCAGTACTATCAATATGCACTCGATCTTGTAACCGACGTCTTCGACTTCGACTGTGACGATGATATGCGGGAACAGATTGAGAAGTCGGCGCGGCATTTGTACGGACTGGTACATGCACGATACATTGTCACAACCAGGGGTCTAGCAAAGATGGTACGCAGCCCTGTCCCATGACAGCTTCATATGCTAACATAACCACCACCAGCTCGAGAAGTTCAAGAAATCCGACTTCGGCAAATGCCCCCGCGTCATGTGCGAATCGCAACCCCTCCTTCCCATGGGTCAATCCGACGTCCCCAACGCCTCACCCGTAAAACTCTACTGCGCTCGCTGCGAGGACCTGTACAACCCCAAGTCCTCTCGTCATGCCGTAATTGACGGCGCCTACTTCGGCACCTCGTTCCACAACATCCTCTTCCAAGTCTACCCCGCGATGCTGCCGCCAAAGTCGCAACGGCGGTACGAGCCGCGCGTTTTCGGCTTCAAGGTACACTCTGCAGCAGCGCTGGCGCGATGGCAAGCAGACAAGAAGGACGAGATGAAAGACAGACTCAAGACACTGAAGATGGAGACTGGATTCGAAGAGGAGGATGAGGAGGAAGACGACGATGAGGATGATGATGATATGGAAACTGCAGAAGTCGACGCTGCAGCTGCCCAGCTATGACAAATGGGCCTCTGACGGCCTTTTCACTATTGTACAGAGCGGGAAAAACGACAATAACAGGAAGCAGGAATAGTAAGCATGGAGGGTTATGAGTAGTTCGATAGCATCCACAAGGAACTAGCATGGGTTCGGCGATAGGCGTCATGGGTGGCTGGGTTAAAGCAGTATCTGATATACCAAACGACGATTAAGCAACGCAGAGTTTCACTTGCACATGCTTGAATTAGCAAAGTCTCACATGTGCACCGACATCACGAGTAGGCACAGGTAGCACGATTCATGATTGCACTGTTGGCTTGTATAATGTAAGAGAGTGGGTATCTATCTCACACCCCATCAGCCCATTCCGTAAATACCCAAGAAACTCAAGCAACGATGTGACAAACCCAGGGGTATAACAAGAATGTAGTGACTGAAGAAGATGCTGAACAAGATAGAATGAAGGAAGAAGTAAACTAGTTCTCATGAATAAAAGTAATAAAGTAGACAAGAATAAGTTCCCAAGTTGGAACCAAGAACAAAAACCCGCGAACGAAAACGCCGCGCAATGCGTTAAAAAGGACGAATCCAAAAGTATCAGACCCATTTCGCTTCGTTCCATCCATAATCCAAACATTTCCAATCAAAACATATACACATCCAAGAATGTCATCTCGTAGAATCCATATTACATCGTGAAATCCAAAACCGGGGATAGAAGATTAGAAAAAGAGCCGTAGCTTAGAAGAACTTCTTCATCCAACTTCCCCTCTTGACAGCAGGCGCACCGCCATTAACGGCTGGTCTGCCATCCCAAGTACGAACGGGCAGCTCTTCATACGCAGGCGCATAGCTCGTCCTGCGCGAGGTCCTCTTTCTCTCCACCTCCTCTTCTGGCACCTTCATGCCTTCATAGTGCGTCGCCCTTCGACTATGTTTGTGTGACCTGTCGCGGTCACGTTCCTTGTCTTCAGCCTTGCGGCGTTCGGCGCGCTCTTTGTCGCGCTTTGGTCCCCTGCGGCCGGCGATACGCAGGCGGACGTCTTCGTCTTGGGAGAAAGTTTCTTCGTCATCGAGCTCCTCACGGGTGCCTGGGGCGGGATCGAGAACTGTTTCGGAGATGGGTGGAGGGAGGGGTGGCTCTTCGGCGAGAGACTCGACCCAAGAGGAGGTCTTGTCGCCGCTCTTGTTATTAATGTACGGCATGTTCTCTTCCTCGGGAGCCTGGCGCGAACTGCGATGTTTTGAGCGCCTTGCGCCGTTGCGCTCGTCGAAATAGTCAGTGATAGGCTCGCCGCTAGCTTGCACTGGGTAGTCGGAGTTGCGTCTAGCAGCGCGGCGTTCTTCGTGACGACGACGGCGTTCTGCATCCTCGTCCACATGTGTTGTTCGACGGCGTTCGGTCTTCGGACGGGGCTCTTCGCGGTCTTTTTCTTTGCGGCGCGAAGAACGCTTCTCGCGCTCTCGTTCGTCTCCGCCTCGTGCTTTCTTTCGTTCCTCCTTCTCTGCCATGCGGCGCAGTTGCTCCTCGGCTTCCTGGTTGCGCCGCTCCAATTCGGCCATTTGGCGAGCCTTCTTCTCCGCAAGAGTCGCTTGTTCATTCTCACGCTGACGCTCGCGGCGGCGTTCTGCCTTAGCCTCTGCTTCTTCAAGCTCAGCACGTCGAGATCCTTTCTCTGCATCGCGCTTGGCCCTACGCTCAGCTCGTCTTGCCTCTCGCTCCGCATCATAATCGTCAGGAGTGCCATTCGCGCCAGACATCATGATATCTTCGGGGGGAGGATTGCGCAAGCTGCGGCGCTCGTGTCGCAGTCGCTTTGCCTCATCTTCTGTTGCGCCCCCACGGGTTGTTGATCGTTTGCGATGTCTGCGCTCGTCTTCGGTCTCGTAGGCGGTGCGACGGCGCTCGCGGGGTGCCTCTTCAGCCGGCGCAGTCTTCTTGCGACCAAGGCCAAACATTCCCTTGAAGCCCTTTACAGCTGCAGCAGTGCCGGCGACACCAGCAAGCGTGTTGATGGCATCAGAGTTGCCGCGCGCACGGCGAGGTCGCTCCCGCTCTCGTTCGCGGCGGGGCCGTTCAGCTTCAGCTGGGACAGGGTCCAGGTCCATAGGGTCGACGATGATAGGATCGTCAGCGCTAGGCGGTGCAGTCACGGGCTCGAGGGGTTGCGCTGAGTCGCGCTTAGATTTGCGACGCGATGGTTCTGGACGGGTTGCTGGGGGAGGAGACTCATCGTCGAGATCTTGGTCATCGTCTACAGGATATGGGTCTGGAACAGCTGCCATGCGGTTAGCTCCATGTGTTTGCTTACGGCTACGCCGGCCAATTACAGGCGTATCATGCTTAGCGGGGAACGGCTTACCTCGAGAAGACCTGCCCTTGTCTCTGGCGTCCCTTGTACTGGTCCTGCGCGACGAGCTTTTCATACCCATCATC